AAACTTAAAAAAAAAAAAAAGAGGTGGGTGGGGATGGCTTATTGATCCATATTCTAAGATGCCTGCTTCAATAGAGATGTCCAGCGTGGGAAGGCTGTATTGATAATGCCCGAAAAAAACCATACGCATGCAGGTCAAGTCCGACTTGAATGAGTCCAACGGGTGCACCCAACTGATCCATTAACCTACTGACCGAAGAGGTTTCCGGAGACCCGAGGATAGAGCCCGTACTATTAAATAAAGCCATTCTGTTTGCATCCGGGATGAACGACCCGAAGTCAGAGAAGAGGACCAATATAAAAAAAAATTTTTTTTAAATGGTCTGCTACCTTGACAACGGCACATTTGATGACGCGCTCCTGGCTGTTGAAATCCAGAGTTAAGCCGTAGTACTGACCTGGAAAGTGGGGAGGGAAAAAAACAACAACAATTTAGTCAAGTAACGAGAAGATGAAACGTGTTATACAGCGAAATAATCAAGAGCTATATTTAAAGTAATAATAATATGTATAGAGACATGAAACATGATCGTCACATGACAGGCGGCTCACCAACTCCAGTAGTAAAATATTGATACAAATAAAATTTGAAACATTGTTACAGCCTAAGTTTCATTAAGAGAACAATTCATTTACTTATTTAAAAAAAAAAAAAAAATCCTCAACTTTCTGCATAACGGGATTTTGTATATCACATGATGCACTGATTTAATCAATAGGCTGTTAAAAGAAATGCTTATAGTTTTTGGTAAGCGTATTTAAATACAGTAATTTAAAAAACAAAAACAAAAAAAACAAACATTTTCTTACCCCATGATCAATGGAAGCCAATTTTTTTTTTTTTTTTTTAAATTCTACATTCTTTCTTATGCATTATAAGTTATACAGATCTACAATTATGCACAGCTTTTGTACACAAAATCGGCCTTCAGACTATCATGTAGATTCGAACTAGACGTTTTGTACCATCGTTTAACGTAGTTGTTGAAGTACGCCTGCTTAACGTTATAAGTACTAGTAGGTGAGGGAGAGAGAGCCGACAGACCCACGTGGACTATAGGCGTATAGCTCTTACTTTTGTTGAGGTAGGTGACTCTGTCCTCATCCCTCCGTTGCGTCGTTGAGATGGGAGTCTCAAGGAAATAGCTGTACCCCGTGCTGTTCTGTTCTCTGGAAAAAAAGATCAAAGATCGATCAATGTTGGGATTAAATCAGGACATTCACGGTACGGTAATATGCTATTGTTTATTGTATTGGCTCACGAGATACACTAATGGAATATTTAGCGAGCTCTTTGGGGGAAAAAAAGGCGGGGGGGGGGGGGGGGGGGGGGGGGGGGGGGTTATGTTGTAGGGAATAAACATCCATAAAATATGTCTTTTGTTTTAAATATACATGTATTTTTTTAAATATTGCAAAGAACATTAATGCATTTATTTTTCAGAAACTACTCAGCTATACGGTAATTTTAATAGCTATTGGCAGCACACATAACAAGCATAAGAGGCGCAGTTAAAGGGTGGCAAAATGGATATCGTAAATATATATGTATATTCCAAATATTAGGATTATGTTGGATACTGAGCAGGTTTCAGCAATAGATAATTAAGTGGGCAATTTTAAAAAAAAAAGTGGGTGGGGGTGCGATGGGCGATACCAATGTCCTCCCCCAGATCTTCGTCCACGTAAACATTTTTCAAGTAAACAATTATTGAATAGTTCCCCCCCCC